GCTAGCTTCTGAGAGAAACACCCTGGAAGCTCTATGCCCTTCTCCACACAACACAGATCTATACAGCTTGTCGTGCAACATGTCACTGGTGATGGTCACTTGGATCACCCAAGGTGTGTTTCCAGGTGGTTCCACTGTGAATCACCCTTTCCCCTTCTATGCTGCACACCCTGCGCAGCCAACTCAAGGGCAGAGCGTCACATAAGCTGTTTGCACCCGTAGTGGAGACTCACAGTTTATATACTGACTCAGGATTCGAGTGGTATGGACCATCCCCTTTCCTTCCTGTCTTAGTTTCCTTTTTAAAAAATAATTAATTTTTTATGTATTTGGTAAAAGGCCTCACTGTGCAGCTTAGACTCATAGTGATCCTCCTGTTTTCAGCCTCCCTGGCACTGGGATTATAGGCATGCACCACCATGGCCGGTCTTGGTGGCTGGCTCAGTGCAACCGGGGTGGAGCTGGTGCCACATGTGGTGCTGGGGATCAAACCCCCATCCCCTCTCAGTAACTTAGTCCACTGAGCTATCTCACTATCCCTTAGTTACCTATTGTAGAGACAAAAATACCTGACACCCACAACTAAAAGGAAGAGAAGTTTCTCACCTTTCAGTCCACAGGCAGCTGGTTCCCAGGTAGGACAGCATAGCACCAAGGGCATAGTGGTGGAGAGCTGCTCAGGAAATGGGGACAGGAGGCCAAGAGCCAGGGAGGAGACACGCCCTTACAGGACACACCCATGCCCTTCCTCCTCTGACTAGGCCTCACCTCCCAAGGCCAAGCCAGCTGCAGTGCTCCCTACTCCAGTCACCTTCCACATGCCTACTGTTGAGCACACAAAGCCTGGGGAGGACATCCAGATATAAACCCGAACACCTCCATTAGGTTATGCTCCAGGTCAGCTTTGACCATCTAGAGCGCTCTGCTCTCTCATGGAGTTTTGACAGCCCATGATATTCCCCTTACTCTCTGCCTCAGACATAGATGTATTTCTCCAGGTTGATTGCTTTATGTCTGATGTTTTGTTTGGAGTCCCATTAGGTTGCTCTATTTCTGGCCTTGCCATGGCTTAGGGAAGAGAGTGCAGGAGAGGGGACCCAGGAAGTGTCACAGGATTGCCCCGCCCTCTTAGGCCCTGCCCAAGGGCACATACAGGCAGACTGACTCAGAGGAGTAGACCCTGAAACCCAGGAATGCTTTGAGAGATCAGGCTCTTGGTCACTCTCTGGGAGAGCTCAAGGAAGAACCAAAGGCTACTGGTGCAGTGAAACAGGGCAGTGTGCCCACCTGCAGCTCCACCATGACCATCTGCCCACCCTCATGCCCCTTCTGCCTCCTGCCAGGGGCAGCAGACTCTCCCCAGTCATTTCTGCCAGGCCCACTCCTGCCAGTCTCAGCCTTAAGCCTTTGTCTAGCTGACCAGAACACTGGATCTTCTCAGGCAAAGTCCTCTGCTCTCTGTACAGCATGAATCTCAGTGCACTCACTGACGGTTGCAAGAAAGTCTTACTACACGGCTACTCACTGAATTTCAGCTCTGATGCGCATCCTCTGAGGTGCAGACCTTCCCAGGAACCACTGAGCCATGGGCTTAGGTGCAGGGATGCACTGCCCGCCTCTAGCCCCCCAGCCAGAGGTGAAGGACAGCTCAATCCAGGCTGAGAGTCTTCCCTGAGCTTGGCACCAGGGGTCCCACAAACTACAGTGTGAGGGCTATTGGCCAGTCTGTTTCACCCAGCCTTCTCAGCTCCCGGCACCCTTCAGGCTCAGTTCTAAGGAAACACAAATCCTACCGAGCCAGAGCCAGAGTCCCCACACGGTCTCCCTGCCACTCAGGGCGAGACCTGGAGTGGGTCCCCAGCTTGTCTCCAGCCTGTCCTGGCCCCCCAGGAGAGCAGGTAGAGTTACAAGAGGCAGCTCTTGCTGGAGGTTCTGAGCTCACCCAAGGCGAAAGGTGGAGGATTGGGAGCCTTGATCGCCCCACAGCCTGCCTGGATCCCATAGCCAAGAGCCAACCTCAATGGCTGGACCTGGAGGAACCTTGTGCGGGGACCCTGTCCTCTTTCCCCCATCCTGAAGAAGTAAAATGCTGTTCGAGAAAGGCGCCCCTGGCTCCCGCCTTGTAATCCCGGGGGTCACAGGCACTAGATTGAAACGGAGCAAAGTCTCTGACCCCAGGGCTGGGGTCCCATTAGACTGTAGAAATGGGTTTAGCAAGGGGCGGGGCCCGAGAGGGGAGGGTTCGGCGTGGAAGGCGGGGCCTGAGTGAGTGGCGGGATGGAGAGGACCGAGGGGAGGGCGGTGCCAAGCCTTGGAGGTGGGGTAGCGAGCCCCAGCGGGAATTGAGGAGGGCAGGGCCTGAAGGAGGGGGCGTAGCCAGGATTGAGGGTGGTACTGAAGGGGCAGGGTCAGAGATGGGTGGGGGCGGGTCCAGAGGCCGTAGGCCCGAGAAGAGGGACCCGGCTGGAGGGCTCGGTGTGTGAATCCCCATCCCGGCCAGGTCCATCGCCAGGCGACCGCGGGGCGGACGGGGGCGGGGAGGGGACGGGGGGGGGGACGGGGGGCCGAGGAGCAGGGGGGGCGGCGGAAGGCGGGGCGGGGGGACGCGGGGCGGGCTTCGCCAGCAATACATACTCTGGTTCTGCTGGATCTTGCATACTTTTGCACGTGACTTTCTCAGAGCAGCCACTAACAAAGGCCTGCTCGGTAGGGAGGGTACGAGGAATAGCGTTGGCGGCGACACAGTGCATTGGGCGCTTGGCCCCTGAGCTTTCTCTGTCCCCGGCGCTTCTTCCCGGTGCCAGGTCTACTGGGGACCAGATGGTGTGGACAAGTGGCCTAGACCCAGGGTTCCGGCCCCAATGGTTCTGCGGGGACAGCATTTGTCTCGCTGCGGATTAACAGATCTAGACAAAATGGTTTTTAATTGCCGCGCCTTTTAGCGTGCCTTTGGGGCCCGGATGGCTGGGTGGGCGGCTCTGCTGGGAGGGCCCTGTCTTTCCGGTGCCGGCGCCTTCTTGGCTTGGGAGTCATCCCTTTGCCACGTGCGATGCTAGTCGCGAGGACCTGGTCGGGGTGGATGCCAGGTGAGCAGCACCAAGCAGCCCCTGCCGTCCCTGCCCCAGAATGACTTCTCCTGGACATTACCTACCCCCTTGGGGTTCCTACATCACCCAAAAAGCAGCAGCCCTCAACATTTCACTCTGCCCTCTTAAGCTGGCCATTTTCCTCCGAAGTGGAAACCACTGCTTCTGACAATACAAGTCTATCCTAGAGTCTCTCATTGCTGGAGTGATCGGGTGCAAAAGAGGGGGCCTTTGATTATCTGACGGCCTGGCTCCAGAGGCCTCAGACCCCGGATCCTCTAGCCAAGATGCAACCATCAATTGCTGTAGGACCGGCTGGCCAAGGTCCCAACTAATCTAGCATGCCCAACTCATTGCACAGGCTCAGGAAAGATCTAGACAGGGCTGTGGGTAGGGATGAGTGTCGGGAAGTGGAGATGAAAAGTGATGAACTCTGGAGCGCCCTGTGTGAGCAGCTGTGCCCACATCCACATATGGCAGCCACAGCCACAGAGACGCCCTCCAGACCCCAGTGCATGCAGATCTGGATGGGAAGGACAGCTGTGTTACCTCTGTAGGTGGCTGCCCCTTGGATGGCTCAGTAGTGACCACACACACACACACACACACACACTCCCCATAAGGCAGGAGTTGGGGGTGAGAGACACTGTTCTGTGCTAACCCTAAAGAGCAATCACTCTGAAAGGCCTCCTGTACCTAGAAAGACCTCAGCAAGAGTGGGGAACATGTGACATTTCTGCCTGCTGAGACTGGGCTGATCTTGCTAGAAGATCACTGGACAACCAGACATTTGCCTCACTGGAGATAGCCCCCAAGATGTCTGTCAAGGCCTTTCTGGGGGTACTAGTGGCATAGCACCTCAGGATGAGGCTGAGCATCAGAGTGGATTGGGCAGGGACATGCCCCCAGAAAGGAAACAGGTGGGACTTCTGGTATCATCTGGTCTCAGGCCTAGCTCTGAAGAGTGTGAGGAGAGAGGGATCCTCAGGGTTGGAAAGGACCCAGCAGGGTAAGCATGGGCCCCAGGCTCCCACAGGTCTGACTGCCTGGGGCTGTCATAGGCCCCAAAGGGATGACCAGTGAGGCTGGCCCTCAGGATGTCAGGACCTTGGGGATGCCCAGCAATTGCCCCCACAGAGGAGATAACTTCTACCTGATGGGCATGAAGGCATCCTCCAGCCAGAGTGGGGACTTGACAGAAAGCTACACGGTGTGAAATCACTTTATTAGCTGTGATTCCATCCAGAGAGACCACACATAAGGGCCCCCAACATGCAGGAAGAGGCCAAGTGCAAGGACAGAGAGACAGTGACACAATCTAGCTAAGCTCGGCGGCCCTGGGCACCCATGCACTGGCCACGGGATTCAGGATTGACACAAGAGAACGCCCAGGCTGCTCAGAGCTGGCTTTTCAACATGTGGAAACAAGCATTTTAAAGACGTGGACCCAGGAGGAGCAAAGGACGGCGGGGCGAGCAGGGCGCAGGCGCCAGGCATGCTTCGCCTCTTTGGACGGATGGCTGTCCACAGTTTGTATTGCAGTCTAATTGATATGGCTTCTCTAAGAGCTATGTAAGGTCATGAAGGTCAGTGTCATGCCACGGCCCTGGCCTGCCACCCTTGGACACTGAATGCAGTTTTGATGTGGACAGAAAGGGCCAGGGGGATCGAGGCAACAGCCTTTCTGTCAAGGTAAAACTCATCAAATACTGAAGACCTCATTTACCTGAGATTCAACAAATTGTGATGCAACTTAAACATAGGGGAGAAAAAAAGGAGGGGCATGGGAGAGCAGGATGAGATGTACTGGGATCCTTCTGCCGACTCCCCGGGCTCTCTTGGTCTGGGCACGTGGACCCCTCAGCCCCCACCCAGGGCCCACAGCACATCGCACTTTGGAGGAAATGTAGGGACAGCTGAGCCCCTGCACCTGGCTGCCCCCCACTCCCCACCCCGCCGTGTTCTCACGTCTCTCAAGCACTGGAGTGTGAGGCTCCTGCACAAGGGCAGGAGCCTTGGGGACCGGGGTGACAGCCAGGGAGCAGCAGATTGCAAGCATGTTCTTAGGGTGTCAGAGAGCTCCAGACCTGTTTCTTTGTCTCCCTTGGTTGAGAGGGAACAGGCTGAGGAGAGGTTCCCAGAGGAGGGAGGCAGCGGGGGCCAGAGAAAGTGAGGCCTGGGTAGGCGTGTGGGACAGCCACGAGGAAGACAGAAGCGGGGATTTTCAGGCCTAGCAACCCGGGTAGTGTGCAGGGCAGGGGCCGCTGCTCCGCAGCCCAGACACCCACCCCCACTATGGCTGTGCTCCTGAGTTTGAACCCCATGGCACCTGCCCATGATGCGTGGGCCACGCCCAGGGTGTGCGAAGGGCTGGCCTGGGGTGACCCCGGCTGGTAGGGGTGGTGTATGTGAGGGCAGTAGGGGTCCAGCCAGCACAGAAGGGCTGTGCCCTGGGCCTCGGCAGGGGTGGCAGGGCCGCTGCAGGAGGGGCGCGGGCAGGTGGACCTAGGACTATGGCTTATAGTGGCGAGGGAGCTGTGCTGCTCCCAACGCCCTGGGGGCCTCTGAGAGGGTCTGTACAGGGGGCAGGCAGGGGCTCCGCTCCCAGTGTCCAGGCGGTATTACTTCTTAAACATGTCCTGCAGTGGCCCGGGCAGGTACTTGATGACCGTGTCCAGGATGCTCTCGTCCTCCTCCTCCGGTTCATCACCGCAGCCTGGTGGAATGGCCTTCTTGGGCCGAGTCAGGCTGCCCTCTGAGTTGGCCTCCATGGCAGCCTGGGCCTCAGCCTCACGCTCTTCCTTCTTCTTAATGCCATACTGTGGGGAGAGGAGATCAAATGGCTGGCACCCAGAGAGGAAGGTACAAAAGAAGTCCAGCCCACCTTGCACAGGAGGACCCCAGGAGACAGGACCACCCCTGGAAGGGCACAGAGTCCTACAGAGCAGAGGGAAGTAGCTTCAGGGTGGGGGTTGGGAGGTGCTGCCGCCTCAGAGGCCACTGGGAGCTGGAAGCAGCAGCAGGAACCTCCCCAGAACCCAGGAAGTGGATTTCTGCTGGAAGACCCTGCCTGGCTTTGGTGCCCTTGGGAGACAGGTGCTGCCATGCGCCCCCTGCCCCTGGCCCCTGGAGTGAGTGCAGGAAGTGCCGACAGTAAACCCAGCCAGCGCAGACCGTGGAGCAAGCTGGGCCCAGGGTTGAGGGTCACAGTCCTGGGTGTGTTTCAAGATGCCACTTGAGGGCGACAGGGGCCATTTGAGGACAGAAGAACATGAAATGCACTAGAAGAGGTAACCCTATAAGGGCAACTGTCCCCTGCCTGCAGGGTGCAGGTATCTGTGGGTGAAGGGGAAGCGAGAGCTGTGTCCAGCCAGGATCCCAGGGTACCATGCCCTGGCCCATGACTGCAGCACTGGGTGGGGTCTTGAGGCTACCAGAGCAGGGCGGGGCTGGCAGCAGTCACCATATCACCCAGTGCCCTGTGGCCTCAGGACAGTGCCCTGCCAGGGGGTGAGGAGCTGGGGCAGCTGGTCCGGTTCCTGGGTCAGTGTGAGTCCTGGGTCAGGTCCTGTGAGCTCGCTGTGGACTGGGAGAAGTAGCAGAAGCAGTTCAGGCCTTGCCAACCTCACTTCAGCAGAATATAGATCTTGCTCCTGCCACATGGCGGCATCTAGAGGGTGTGGGCCAGGGTGGCCTGGGCCCTGAAGGCTGAGCCACAAGGGCAGTGGTGCTGGGCACATGGCCAGGATATGGGTCACCACAGCTTGGCCTGAGTCCAGTCTACCCACTGTGGCCCAGGGTCATTCTGAACCTGCAGCTGCCTGGGCTGGACCTGTGAGTCAGAGTCAGAAGTCACTTGGCCAGGGATAGGACCATGCAGTCTCCACAATTCAAAGCCCCACCTGAGCCAGGGTCCACAATGTCAGGTAACTGCACCCTGCAGTAGCACCTAGAGGACACGGCTACCCTACCCACCAGATTGTCGCCCACTTTGCAAATTGCAAGGGACCTTGGCCCTTTCCTGGGTGCTTGATCCCACACTCTGAGCCTTGCAGGCAAACCCTGACCAGGTCACACACCTGATGGCTAGATCCATCCCTCCCACAGGGTCTCCATGGGTGTCAGGACTCAGGACCTCTGGACAGGACAACCCTGCTGCAGGAGCAGGGAGGGCTGACCTTCCAACATGGGTGACATCCACCTGGGTTTTCCCCAAAGTTGTGTGTAGATGAAAGAAGGCCTGGGCTGTCCTGAGGAGGAAATCAGCCCCTGCCTGCCCCATGTTCCCTGGTGCCCACCTTGTCGCGGATGCCCTGCCGCATGACCTCTCGCTCAGCCTCCATCTTGGCATACTTGGCCTTGCGCTCCTCCTCTGCCTGCCGTAGCGCCTCCTGGCGTTCCTCCTCCTTCTTGGCAGCATCAGGGTCCTTCTCCTCATCACCCCCCAGCATCTTTCCCATGTCCTTGGTGGCCCCTGGGGACAGAAGGAAGTCAGCCTTGCAGGGCTCCCACGCATCCTGGGGTTTGGGGCCAGCACTCTCAAGGAAAGGGGCCCAGTGCTGTCAGTTGACAGCTGTGGCTTGTGAAGTTGTGTGTCTGTGTCGCTGTGTGCAGTACATGTGTGGACATACACTTGGGCAGCAGCTGGGTTTACGTGTGATTTGGACTTGAGGGTATGGCTGTGTTGTGGTTGTGTGTTTGTGTATACATCTGTGTGTGGTCATGTGTATGTGGCTGTGTGTGCACACATTTGTGGGTCTGCTCGTGTGTACATCTAGCCAGGCCTGCTTGCAGCCTCCCCTGTGCCGCCAAAGGACAGGACGCAGGTCCACAGCAGGATACCTTCCGCCAGGGCCACCAAACCCTTGGTTGAGCAGGTGCTGCCAGTGGCTGGCACAAGGCGGCCCTCCTGCTGTGAGCTTCTGATTCGCAGGCCCCATAACCCTCCCCACATGTCCTGTGCTGGGCCCACAAGCCAGAAACGTTTAATTATGGCCTCCCACAGCAGCCAGGAGCCCTGGCCCTCAGCCACTCTGGAGGGCAGAGCAACACAGCACCCAGACATGGGCAGCCCCAGGCTCATCTCTGGGATTGGCCCCTGTCCACTGGGCACTGCAGGAGCCACCAGCCTCAGCACTGAGGCCCAGGGCCCCGCTGGCCACACCATGAGGCCTTGACCTTACCAGGCCTGGCACCAGGCCCTTTCTGACACTAGCTCTGCCAAGAGCACCAAGACCAAGAAAGCCAGAGCCCAGGCTCCATGCAAACCACCCCTAGGAGTGGAGTGGGAGGCTCACACCACTCATGTCCACCGTCAGTGCCCATCCTGGACCCCAGCGACCCTGTGCACAGTCTTTCCTGTGTCCTGCCTTCCCACACCTGGACTTGGAGCTCCTTCTCCTCCCCTTGGGACAAAGACAGATCACCCTGCCTCTGTGGGTCATGGGTGGAAGGGACCCTGTCTTCATCCTGTGCTGGCTTCTCCCAGGCTCTGGCTGCCTAGAGTACACAGGTGTAGGGAGACAAAGCCATCATGTCCCTGATAAGGGCATCAGCTGAAAATGAGAAGAATGGGAAGGGGAGCAAGGGATGAAGGGGAAGGTAAGGGGAGAGGAGTGAGGGGAGAGGGAGGGAAGAGGGGAAGGGGAAGGGGTAGGGAGAAGAGAGGTGTCCCAGGAGGGGACATCACCTGGCAGAGGCTGGGACAAGTGGCACCCCAGGGAAATATCTCTGGAAGGAGCTGCGTGATGCAGGCAACGTGTCTAATGCTGTGGACCTATGTACTTTAAAACTAGTTAAAAGGGTGATGTTTATGTTCTTTCTCTCACAAAAAAGAGAGATATCATGCTTTAAGTGACTTATAATTCCATCTCTCAGGAACATTCTAGGCCATGGAGATGGCTCTCAAATAAGGGCAAGTCTGTGATCTACCACCCAGCCACAGATTATGAGATCCCTGTCACTGAGAAATGACACAGGTGACACTCAGCACAGCTGCACCTCAGCCTACAGAAGATGCACGAGGGAACGGTCCCTTAGGAAGGCTCGATGAAAGATGTGCGATCAGGCAGGAGAACCCTGGGCTAGGCAAATGACCCAGGGGTGGGGCAACAAGGACAGGACCCAGCAGAGGCCCTGTCCTCTGCGGCCTTGAGCAAAATGCGCTTTCAAAGCAATGTAAACAGAAGATGTCTAAGAACTCACAGACGGGATCACACAAGCATTCAAGCAACAGATAATTCCCGTGATATTTAGAACGTTCCTGGAATGGAGACAAAAAGGAAACCCTCTGGGTTATTTCTACGAAATTAGCATGAGAGTGATGCCAAGTCAGCCTGGGAGGTGTGGAGAGAGAAACCAAGGCAGAGGAGGGAGGGGGAGGGAAGAGGACAAGGGCCGGGTTGGAGAGACAGCAGGAGACAGAGTGGTGGCCAGGCCCGGTGTGAACATCAGCCAAACATTAGAGCATAGATGAGTACAGGGGGTGCCACCCCAAGTACCCATCTTTTCCTGCAGCCAGCCAGGCAGGGATGACCTCCCTGCCCCTCTGGAAAATGTCCCAGGGTAGCCACACTCTCTCCCCTCCTCAGCCTGGACACCACAGGGAAGAACCTGCAGCCCCGG